TTCCATTTAAAATAATCAAATTTCAGCAACTTTTTCAAGCAAACGAAAAAACTGTATTTTTTTACCACCCTGTATTGAAGTAACGGAGATTAGGCTGACGTGTGGGAAGTGTCCAAGTATCACCTAACTCCAAACCAAATTTCGATATCATAGTACTTCTTAACTAAAAGATATCGGCATTTTTAGAAGTCATGATTTTCGAAGAAAAAAATTGAAATTAATTTTTATTTCGAAAACGGTAACAGATAGGTATAGGGAAATATCAAGAAAAGTTGTCGGGCAATTGTTGGAGATTCCAAAAATAATATTATATACAGAGTGTTCCATTTGAAAAATCAAAGTTGCTACTGCTTTCTAATAGAAGCGGCAACACCGCATTGTCGAAAATATTTCAGTTGGCTAGAGAATGTCCAAATATGCCCTTCATTAAATTTTCAAAGTGATCCGTTGTCTGGTTCAGCAGAAACGTCTAATGTGCCATCCACCGTGAATCAGCCTGTATATTTATTTATTCATATCTCGAGAAGAATTACTTTCAAGTGTTTACTGAAGACCTGAGTAAAAATTACTCCAATATAGTATATTTTTCTGCACTCGTGTTTATAAAGATTTTACTGAATCTTCACCATATTTCTCTTGAAGGCTCCTGGTAAGGATCAGGTGATTCAAGGTCTCTACGCTTGCGGTGAGGCAGCTTGTGTTTCGGTGCACGGAGCGAATCGACTGGGAGCAAATTCCCTGCTGGAAATTGTAGTTTTTGGAAAAGCCGTGGCTGACGCCATCACTCAGTATAGTAGTCCCGGAGAAGAAATTATTGTTGATGAGGTGATTATTGAAAACCGGCCCAATCATCTGAAATACTTCATTATATTTAGTTGTTTTACTCGTTCATTCCTTATGATGCACTGTTTGGAACCTTTGGTATAGTAATGAATATTACTGGAGTTCTTTCCCAACACCAAACCGTTATTTTCAACACCTCGACACGTGTTTCGATCACCAAGTGATCATCTACAAAGAGGAAGATTAAAACTGCAGATTAAAAAACAGTTTTAATCTTCCTCTTTGAAGATGATCACTTGGTGATCCAAACACGTGTCGAGGTGTTGGAAATAACTGATTAAGAAGGTTAAAACTGCAGATTAAAAAACAGTTTTAATCTTCCTCTTTGAAGATGATCACTTGGGGATCGAAACACGTGTCGAGGTGTTGGAAATAACTGATTAAGAAGATTAAAACTGCAGATTAAAAAACAGTTTTAATCTTCCTCTTTGAAGATGATCACTTGGTGATCGAAACACGTGTCGAGGTGTTGGAAATAACGGTTTGGTGTTGGGAAAAAACTCCAGTAATATTCGTTTATTCCTCTTGCAGAGTTTGGGTCAGATTTCTTTGGACCATCTGGACAGATTGAGACACGCCGATGGAAAGTATACAGTCGGCGAGTTACGGTTGAAATTACAGAAAACAATGCAGAAGCATGCCGGAGTTTTTCGAAATCAGGAAATCCTCGAGGAGGGATGCAGACTTGTCTCAGACCTGTACCTGGAATTTAATAACATCAAAGTTGAGTCGTAAGCAGTTTACATTTTCTTGATTACAAATTGTTTGGAAACCTAACACAACGCTTTTATGATTCAACAACAGCGCTGTTTTGATTTGTCATAGGTTTCATCAGTGATGCTGAGCTGAATCACAAAATGCGTTGCATCTATGGAACAAATACGGGATCCAGCTTGCACTGCAAGGCAACTAGTTGGCTTTGCAACTGACCGCTTTGTGGAGCCTGGTTTATCTTCGATAGGTATTCGAGGATTGAGTTCTCTTTCCATAGATGATATAGATGGTGGGAGGAGATGTCATCTATCTATATACAGACGGCTCAAAAACCAACGAAGGCTCAGGATGTGGAATGTACTCCAGATCACTAAGCCTAAGGATTAAGTGGGGAATGGGAAAAAATACCAGCGTGGTCCAAACAGAACTGGCTGGTATCTCAATCGCCACAAAAGAAATAACCAGGAAAGGAATTTCTGGCAAAAACATAACAATCTGCACTGGCAGCAGACAAGCCCTATTAGCCTTGAACAGACAACGTGTTACCTCAGGGCTAGTACTAGAGTGCCACCAAGATTTAGCCAAAGCCTCGGTAGATACTAACATTATCCTGAGGTGGGTTAAAGGGCATCACAGGAGTAAAGGTAATAGCATTGCCGACTCTTTAGCCAAGGAAGCGGCTGGACTAAGAATTTCAGGACCCAGTGGCAACTACGGCCTGATGACTTCGGCAATCGCGGAACTAGCCCAATATTACACCCATGCTCAATCCCCAAAGAGATGGGATGGAATCAAAGGATGTAACCTTGCCAGGATCACCTTGGGCGACCCTGGGAAGCTGGCGCCGAAGAAATATCTGGCGATGACCAGGAAAAATCTACGCTTTACAGTAGGATTTCTGACTGGCCACTGTCAACTAAGAAAATACCTCCATAATACGGGGCTAGTGGACACACCTCTATGCAGGATGTGTGAACAGGAAGATGAGACTGTCAGACATGTCCTGTGGGAGTGCCCGGAGTTATCGTCAATAAGAGAGTGTGTGTTCGGCGAGTCTTGGCCTACACCTGTCAACATAAAGGAGATGTCCCCCAGTGACCTGTCCACCTTCCTGAAAAGGACAAAATGGACGATGACCTAAGAGGACAACTCCTCGGGAGGATGTACAATGGGTCACATATGGCCTAAGTTCTGTGGGCTTACACTTACCTTCCCTATCCTACAAATACAGATAGATACAGATGTCATCAATGTTACTAACTTACACATGAATAATATTCAATTATAAAAGCACGTTAGAGGAAAGTCTCCTAATAAGGGGTAGTTTTTTTCAAAACACCATAATAAAAAAACGGAGGTAGTTTTAAGCATTATTTCCATATTTCATGTTTCTTTGGGTATACTATCAAGCATTTAATAAGAAGAAACAATGATTTCAAAAAAAGCAGATGAAAATATGCAGAATTTAAAAAAAAGTGTACTACTCCATATTAGAGGCATATGGGGTACACTATGTTCGCAATATGGGGTACCTATTTTGATATGTAAAATTTGAAAATAAGTAAAATTATTTTATTTTTTTTGGATACAAAAATTAAAATTTAAAATTCCAAATCAGACTGAAAAAATTCATCAAGCGAATAAAATACCTTTTCACATAATAGTTTTCGAACTTTTTGTTTAAAGAGCTTTACACTAGTTATTTTTTTAATGGATATTGGGAGCTTATTGTACATTTTTATTGATATATGAGGTCCATTAGTCACCTTGGCTAACTTATGACTAGGAATTGAAATGTTATAGTTTTTCCTCACGGTGAAGCCCGAAAGAAGACATGTATCATCTCTGTTCTGAAACTTGGAGCAATTTGATTTAACGTAGATTTTACGCAATTAAGAATATACATGCAAGTAACAGTTAATATATTCAACTTTGCAATTATTGGTTTACAGGAATCGAGTGGTTTTTTGAAACAAATTGTTCTAATAATCTTTTTCTGGAAAATTAATAAGTCACTGATTCTATCGCAGTTGCCAAAACAAATAATACAGTAATTGAGGGCAGAGTAAACATATGCATAATAGTAACTTTTAAGAATTTCAATAGACACAAAATTACGCAGATTCCATTTAACGAAACAGTGTGTCGCTAATTTCTTCAGTATGAAACCAACATGATGATTCCAATTGAGTTGGGAATCAATAAAAACTCCTAAAAATTTTTTATAGTTTACCTGTTCAATACTTTTAATCTCAGACCTAACCAATACACTACAATCAGTTTCCTGAATTGTAAAGAGAATGGTGTTGGTTTTAAGATTATCCAACATGAGTCCATTTGAAGCAGCTTTGACACATTACCCACTCTCCGCCTCTAACATCTTCGGAGTACGGATTTTCGCAAAAAATACAAATAGCATCTTCTTCAAAGTTTTCTACCTGTTGGTCATCTGAATCTTGATACTCGGGTTCAGGGGCCGAATCTGAAGAAGATCTCCAGGATACCAACTTGCGTTTGTTTGCTTTTTCTATAGCAACTGACTGTTTCTTTTTCTCTTGGGTATGTTTGATTTTTTTCTGATGACTTGGTTTTGAATCCTTAAGGTAAATTTCTTTTTTCTATGCTGGCCTCTAATTTCTCTTTGTATGGAGTGCTAGTTACAACGGCAGCTTTTCCACATTTTGTACTGTTTTTTTTTAATAATAACTTTTGAAGCAGTTGGAACAGGCAGGGGTAATCTGTTTCTCAGGGGTAACCTGTCTCTCAGCGGTTTGCTGTCTTGGTGGGGTAACTTGTCTTTCAGGGATGTTTTCCTTTGGCTCGTTGTTATCTAATTGTTCTTCCTCTACTGTGTCTTCCTCTACTTTTTCTTCATCTATTGTTTCTGTTTCTACTCTTTCTTCATTAATTGTTCCTTGTATTTCTGCCACAAAATCATATTCTTTGAATGCGTTTCTATCAGGAGTTTTTCTAAACCCGTTTATAGCTGTAGCTATGGTGGCCGCTCTTATATAGGCTTTCCCAAAAAGTTCTGTCACCTGATAGCCTGATACAACACGTCCTGGGTTAAGCCTAAGCCAGTTTGTGATCTCTATCGTCCTAGCGAAGAATTCACAATGTCTTCAGGCGCTCCCTTCATCTTTACGTACTTTTCTAAGATCGTTTGAGGTATACCGTGGGTCTGCGCACTCTTCTTGTGGCTCATTTCGCCTTGCCGAACAGCTAAAATTTCTGAAATCATTTGTTCCTTGTTCCATACTTTTCGTTTTTTAGGCATCTGATAGAAAATACTTTAGTTTTATACGGAAAAGTACACAGTCCCCTGATATGGGGTACCCTAAATTAGGAGTTGATAGGTACCCCATATTACGAGCAAAGTAGATTTTTGAAAGGGGAATGTTTGTGCAAAAACTGTGACGTTTTCTTAAGAAACCAAAACTATTTCCATAAACTACGCCAAGTTCTGTATTGAATGATATTATTAAGTTTTCAAAAACTCACCTTTAAGTTTCCTTAAATATCTAAAATGCAACAGTCACCAGAAATTTTGATTCATTCACAAAATTACCATAACCTAAATCATCGAAACGCAACACGAGTTTGCTCCAAAACGTGAATGAGCGCTTTCTAGGAAGTCGGTGGTTAGTTTTTAATGTTCACAATAGGTGTCGGAACAAGTACTTGCTTAAAATTGAACTACCCCATACTAGGCACTACCCCCATATTAGGCGACTTTCCTCTACTCTTCTTTCCACTACTTTCGTCCAATCTCACAGACCTGGATAATCTTAGTTGTCATATATTACAGTACTGTATCAATCAATCAATCAATCAATCAATCAAACATTTATTGAATCAGTGTTCATTTACAATCACATTAGGCAAACATCATCATGAAATACTGGCTGATACAACAGGTCAAACTATTATAGAAAAACAAATACAAAGCATAACTTAAATAAAAATAAAATCACTAAGCTACNCAACTCAGTAGTTATCCACCTGGAGTCACCAGATTTTTTTATCTTGACTACCTTTTTTGGAAATGAAGTATCAAAATAATAGGAAAATTTATTATAAAAACTATCAAACTTAGAATTTGCTTCAACTGAGTCATACACTGAAGACCAATCAGTCTCCAGCAGTAAACTAGAAAACTTCTCAATATTGTAGTCATTAAAACATCTCTTGTGAGTTTCTTGGTTATGGTCAACCTGATCATAGCAGAAAGTTGCCAGCTGGAAAGTGTGATCAGATATATAGGAATGATTAATGGAGTAACTAATAGGATTAGAAGTAGACAAAATATTATCAATACAAGTTGCTGAATCACCCCATATACGAGTAGGTTCACTTATAATAGCACTAATGTTATGTTGCTCAAGTATATTTATGAAGTCAGTTCTCTCATTAGTAAACCTTAACATATCTATGTTAAAGTCACCACAAGCTATTAATTCTAAGTTTTTATACTTACTATACAACATCACAAGTAATCGATCAAATGAATCAAAAAAAGTTAAAGTATTACCAAGAGGTGATCTATATACCGATAAAATTATTATAGTTTTATTCTTACCGTTTAACGCTAATGCACATACCTCAATATCTTGCTCTATACTAATTTCTATAGGAATGTTATTTACTTGCAAGGATTTTTTAGCAAAAATGCATACCCCTCCCCTGATACGTTTCTCCCTACAGAAAAAAGAGATTAAATTATAGTCAGTTATTTGAAAAGATGATTGATCTAGGATTCCAACAGATTCTCCCAACAGGAACTTCCGAACTTTCATGATTGATAACGGTCATCTTGTTGAAGCTACCTCTGTTAAATTAGTTGCCATTCATTTAGTTTGTTTCGACAAAATACCATGGACGGATGTAACATTCCACAGAACGTGCATTTAATGAAATCGTTTTATGGAAATGGGTGTTCTGTTCCGACAACGTACCGTGCGCTTGGCCCATTATACGATCGCTATAATCCTCCTACTAAGAGGACTATTCCCAATGTGGTGGATGTGGTGGATGAATTCGATAAAATACACTCTATACTAAAATGTAATGCAAAACGTAATGAAATATAGAATACAAAAACGAACTATGGATATAAACGAAGTAGATGTTCAAAAATGTTCACCGCGAACGTCTTGGCAACATCCTGATCTCGAATAAAACTGTATTCTAACGTTATTTAACATATCAGGTGTGACCGACCTAATCGCAAGCGTTATTCGTTCTTTTAAGTCAATCTGAAGGTTTAGTTTTGTACACATTGCTCTTTAGATATGCCTATAAAAATAAATCTAATGATGAAAGATCAGGTGATCGCGCTGGCCATTCAATCGATCCTCGCCTCCCTATTCACCGATTGGGAAATGTTGTATCGAGGTATTGCCGGACATTACCTTGGTAATGTGGTGGTGCTCCATCCTGCCGAAACCATATCGTATTCACTGGAACTTGAGGGTTTCCTGGATCAAGATATAAATTTGCTAAACTTGGAATGACATCATTTTGAAGTAGTGCCAAAAAATCATCGCCATTCAAGTTGCCCTCAATGGAAAAGGGACCAATGCTATGGTTTCCTACAATCCCTGCCCAAACATTAACCTTTTGAGGGTATTTTCCTCACAAAAATAAGTTCTTTTATCAAAATCGTCTTCCATGAGCTCCTGAGTAGGTATCATTTTATAGGGATGCATTTTATTTTCTTTCAATATAATTACTATCGATGTATGGCTAACATTGAATGTAGTGGAAGTCTACTCGATGTTGTGGGTGTTCCTCAAACTCAAGCATCACATCTGATTTGAGTTCATCACTCATTGCATTGGCAACTAATTTTTTTTATCTGCTACTTCCTGTTGTGTTCGGGTTTTATCTCCGTAACCAATCATTTGTAACACTGTTATTTTATGCATTTCCGTTAATCTAACCATTTGTCAGACTTGAAGTTAACGCACTTTAAATTCGAACTAAAATACTGACAACTAATGCTGTAACATACAAAACAAGTTGACAAGGCGTTTCAAACTAACGTTGCCACGGAAATTATTTATGGTTTTTTAAAGAGCATTGCTATAGTTTTTGCTTACTTTCTTATTATCAATACCTCAACATGAAATGAGTTTTGAGTATATTATTGCAATAAATCTTGAGTATTTTATCGAATTTCGGTAACCGAATGATTTTACTTTATTTTTTTCATTGTTGCAATAAACTTGAAAGGGACAATATATTTGAATAGAAAATGAAGAGATCTTTCGAACGATATATCACAAGCCTATACTTCCCATTTAAAAAATTGGGGGTTGTACCTGTTATTCGATGGGGTTGAAGGTAGAGGTAGCATTTTTCCGTTGAAGTGTGTCAAATTATAATTTAAATTTGACATGTTTCGGGATTTTGTTAAAATATGTAGGTACCGTAACCGAAATAATTAATTTTTTTGCTATTTGGCTTTTACACACTGTATATATTCAGGAAAGCTAATGCAGTCGAGCTGCTGGAAAATGATTACATGAAAATACAAAAATAAATGATGAGTACTTTTCCGATCCTTCACAATCAGTTAATTTAAGAGCCATCGGTAAAGGGCTACTACAATACGTTGTCGCCATAATAAACTTTCATCTAGAGCAGGGGTCTCCAAACTTTGAAGCCTTCGGGCCACAATGATTCTTTCAGTTTGTTCCAAGGGCCAATTTTTGCCCTTAACTATGTATATTTTTAGACTAGGATAGTCGCAAAGTGCGTGACCTAACCAAACTTACGCTTTATTTGCATTTCAATTATTATTGTGTATTGTGACACTTTACAACATCTAGTGGCGAGTAGTGGTACTATGTACTATCTTTTTCAGCTACCTGATAGGTGGCATTAGGCGTGATTAAATATTTGGAATTACCGCGTTGGTTCGAGAAAGTTCTGGTTCTAGCTAGTGTATTCCTATCACCTCGAGATGGCAGTAATAATTGCATATGAGAAGGCTAGCGGCGCAACTGCGAGTTAGACCGCGTAGGAAAGGCGAAGGAAGCGAAACTGTATATTGTGAAATAAAGTAACACCCGTCAATAAAAGTATTTTGATTTGACTTATTGTTTTATGTGTGATTTGTTAGTATGGAAAAGAAGCGAAAAATCGACACTAAATGCAGAACGTTTCAAGAAAAATGTAACTTTCAGTATTTTGTGATTGAGTCCAGTAATGAGGCGCTATGTTTAATTTGTAATGAAACCATAGCTGTTCTCAAAGACTATAACATTGAACGACACTATGAATCGAAACATCTTCAAAGTTACTCCAAGTATACAGGAAGTTTGCGGAAGGAAAAATTTGAAGCTTTGAAACGCGGACTCAAATCGCAGCTAGCTTTTTCAAAATCCTTTTGATTCTGACATTGAAACCCTGGCTCCGGAAGTCCAAATGGAAATTATTGATTCACGGTGCAGTGATATGCTCAAGAACAAATATCAAAATTCATCTTTGTTGGAATTTTATAAGTCTTCCATTGAAACAATTTGATAATTTGCATAAATTTGCTCGTGGGTTGTTTTCTATTTTTGGTACTACTTAGTTGTGTGAGAAAACGTTTTCCAAGATGAAGTACACAAAGAATGTTCACAGATCTCAATTAACCGATGAGCATCTTAAATTTCTTTTAATAATTGGTACAAGTAAAATTGATCCACAACTACAAAGTATTGTCGGTGGAAAATCACAATTACATAAATCTCATTAGTGTTTTTGTTTTACTGTGATTCATTTCAACTATTTGTTAGTTATTAATATGCTTAAACTCAGATACTTAAGTTAAGTTTCCTTTGTCATCATTTCTGTCGTTAAGTTTTACCTTGCAAGTAAATAAAACCGAGTAATTATCATTCTGTGTTTTCTTCTTCAACTTATCACAGCAATAGTAACAACAATTAGGTAATCATTGGCTGTCGCGGGCCGGATTGATGACACTGGCGGGCCGTATTTGGTCCGCCGGCCGTAGTTTGGAGACCCCTGATCTAGAGTAAGACCAAGAAATGTTGCACTAAAAGTGTATATAGTTGTAATTTCATTGCTTATTGATAATTATATGTTTTATATGATTAGGTATCAGATAGAGGAATGATTTGGAATACAGATCTTGTTGAAGCATTAGAATTGCACAACTTGTTTATCAATTCAATACAAGCGATCTACTCAATGGAGCAGAGAAAAGAATCTAGGGGTGCCCACGCCAGAGAAGACTGTAAGGTAAAGGTCATGAAGGAAGTTTATTGAATATTTATAACAGGGAAAAAGAACAGTAATTCTAAAAACTGACTATAACATAGCTAAGTACGAACAGTATGGTTTCGGAAACTTCTTTCTTCGGTAAGTATATTACCAAAGCGATAATTTTTGTTCATTATTATTTTCTAATTCAGTTCCGTCATAGCAAGAACTGGTTGCACGATAAGAAAATGAGTATTTGCTATTCATGGCATCGTTATTTGTGGAAATATTTAATTTGGATGAATCACAATTGTATTTTCTTGCCCCTTAAATATGCAAATAAGATCAAACGCAATATTTGCAAATGTTGAAAAAATAAAAAAGGAGCACACCAGACTCGAGATCTTGCGGTGTATATTCAAAGATAAATAACTGACAGCGGCGGTTATATTCGTTTTATTTGGCTTTCTTCTTTTCTTTGAGCTGGAAAGTAGCAAGCGAAAAACTGTTTATTTTCCACTCCATGAAAAATTTGATTTCATCTTGGATGATTCGCTGTTGCAACGGAAAGACTAGCAATTCATGCTTTGTAATTCTGTTATTGAAAAAGTTCATAAAAGATTTGAGGCAATTATTTTGATTCTTTCTGAATATTTGATACCTCCTTATTTCTTGACTTGAAAATCCTTAATCTCATCAAAAGTATTCTTGGATTATTGCAATAATTATTGTTATTCTTCATACATATGAATATAAGACAAACCAAGATAGATGTTTTCAAAGGCTGGCCTTCCTCTGGCATTTCTCGACTAATTTTTTCTGCCATGTTTCACCGAGCATCTGATGAAATACATATTTTATTGGAGATTTCTACCAAATGCTGTCGCTTGAACTATTGTTCATTGTTTCACTGAAATATTCCCTTGCGAGTTATATTTTATTTTCCTTGGCACAATAAAAATGAAATAGTTTCGTATATTGTGGCTACAATTTTTGTCATGGAGTCATTTACTTCGCGTAGACTGTCGAAACAAAAACAAGAGTCACAACAGATATCCTGTACGTCCAATAGTTGTTTTGGAATATCTGCAATCATATCAATAATAGGACAGTATTCTAAAAATATGGAATTTTTATAATGCCATGAAGAATAAAATATAACTTTCAATATCTTGTTCATGTTCCCTGTTCATGTCTTGTCCATGTCCTGTTCATGTCCTATCCATGTCCTGTTCATGTCTCATCCATGTCCTGTTTCACGTCCTGTCCACGTCTTGTTCACGTCATATCCACGTCTTGTTCACGCCCTGTCCACTTCCTGTTCATGTCCAATCCATGTCATGTCTTCTCTATGTTCTGTCAATGGCCTTTGCATGTTCTGTGTCTGTCTTGTCCATGTCATGTCTTGTTCCTGACTGTTCCTACCTTCATGTCCTGTTCACGTCCTGTTTATATCCTGTCCATGTTCTATCCACGTCCTCTTCACGTCCTGTCCATGTTCTGTCCATGTCCTTTCTTGTTCATACCCTGTCTATGTCCTGCCCATGTCTTGTCTATGTCCTGTCCACGTTCTGTCCATGCCCTGTCCACGTTCTGTCTATGTCCTGCCCATGTCCTGGACTATGTGAGTTTCCCATACCTAGTTTCTTTATAATAATAATAATAAAAAACTTTATTCACCGTAAGAGTACAGAATATAAATAAATGAACTACATGATAGAGTGGGAATAAAGACTTGAACGATAAGCGCTATTGCACTTGTTTCGTTATTGTGTAACAAGGAGTATAATTTATAGAGTACGCTACAAGACAAATAGAATGTAACATAAAAAATGATAATTTGAAAAGACATGATGTTATGAGTTGACAAAAAATATAAATATAACAATAATAATAAGATTCGTGTAAACTTAATACAGGGTGCCTGTTTATGGTAACAATGAGTATATTTTCTAGAATACGGCACAAGACAAATAATATAAAAAGAAATAAAACAAGGACATAAACCAATATATGTTGACAGAATGTAAAAATAATAATTAGATTTTATATTTCTATTGTCTCGTTAAGGGATTGACCTATCGCAAGAAAACAACAAATTTAACAGAAAAATAGATGGATTGAAGAAAATTCTCTGCTCTATTACAAGATAGACAATAGTTGAAGTTCGAAGAAAAACTGTAAATAAATAGGTATTCGTACTAACTGATGACTTTCTCATTATTTCCTCAAGAAATAGATACATTTCCGATTGAAGTAAAGTAGGCAATCCCTATATTTTCTGAAAACTCATAGTGTGGACTATTTTGATTTGGACATATGTGCAGGGTTTCCATTTGAAAAAAACATGACTATGACACGTCATAACACGACATGACACGATACGTCACGACATGATATGACATGAGACTCCATTTCATTACATTACATTTACATAACATAAATAACGTAATATAATATAACATAATAAAATTCATATTATATTATATTGTTTTAATGATGTGTGTGATTAATAATCCGATTTTATTCTTCAGCAACGAATAGATGAATACGATTATTCGAAACCAATAAGAGGGCAGAGGAGACTATCTTTTGATGATCATTGGAGGAAACATACCCTCTCGTGGATGGACGTAGAATCAGGAGAGGTAGAGCATTTGAAGTTTCACATTTTACATTTTTATAGTTGTTTATTGCAACTACATAAAAATTTTCATTTGTTTAAATATCAAACTCAGAAATATAAATGTAGTCGGTTATAAATAATAACCCCATTACGTGAAATTGATTGTTTTAGATAATTAATGATACGTAAATAACATTCATTCGCTCATTTGATTAAATCCCAGCTATAGGAATCTTGTTCAGTGGAGATATTCTTTCCGTGAATATTCAATATGATTTTTCCAGAAAAGTTGTTCATCCTGAGTATGAAATTGTTATTTTGACGTTCTCTTTGTTACAAACGAGGACTTTACTATATAAATTGTTGATTTGTGACTATTCAACCGTGATGATATTATTTTTAGACCTTCACCAATGCTTCGCAGTATTTTCCTATAATTTTTTCATAAACTATGGTTTTTTCATCTGCAAATACTCAAGCTCAAATCGGGAATTGGATGAATGTAAATGAGAAATGACACATGTCTTAGAATTGAACCTTGTGGAATGCCACTTGTTATTAAATCTAATACGGCAGATTCTTTATCACTTGATTTTTGAAAAGCATATTGACAACTGTACATTTTTTTGACAATCTTAGTTGAAACTGGTAATATTGATATCGGTCAATACTAATTCAAAACTTCTTTCATCTCATTCTTCAGACTTGTTTTGAAAACCTCTGTGTTCAAGCTTTCAAAAACTCGTTCGATTTTGGCTATTTTTATGTTGTTCATTTCATGAAATTGAAATACCATTGGATTCTGAATTTTTATGAACAAGTTATGACATGGACACTGAATTGAACAAGTTAACTATTTCATTTATTTTCAGGTTTGTTTCACATATCGACCTGTTATAGACTGCACCCTCGATGAAGATGAGTGTCCTAGTATTCCACCCAAAATGAGAGCTTACTGAACATTTTATCACAAAGAGTCAATAAATTTTGTTGTTTCTACTTGCTTTCATCATAGAAATTGCACGCTGTTTCAAAAACGTCCTTGAAAATTTTTCGTTTATGAATTTATGACATTTCTTACATTTTTTTGAGTATATGACCTTCTAAAATTTGAAAAGCAAATAAATATAGTTTAAAAAACTAAAAATACACGCTTTTAAAGAACATCGAACTGTAAAATTAAAAATATTTTTTTTGAAATAAGCTTAAAACAATAACGAACGAAAAATACTAAATATTATTGTGGAAAAATCGACAGGCGCTTGATATACACAAAATATGGCACAAAGAGCCCACGCATTACAGTGCCATCTGCCCACAAATAGATCAAGCAATAATGTCGATAAATCAAGTAGGTTGTGTACAGCGCCATCTGCCCGCGATTTGCTACAACAGTAGCTGACGTTACATCGATCAATCTATTTCTTATACAGGGCTATTCAAATTCGTTTCTGTACATGGGGATCTCGTAAACGATAAGAGAGAATGTCGGTTAAATTGTGGCAAAGTTGTGTATTTGAGAGACCTATTCAATGATGTAAAGAAATCGATTATAGCTCTTTTGGTTCATGAGATATACAGGAAAAACCAAAAAATCCCAAATTATTGTTTTGCCTATGTCTTCTTTTTTCGCAGACATATTGAAAATCTGTCCACATTTTGCTATTGGCACTTGATGTGGGCTCTCAGAATATATCCATGAATCTTTTATACAGGGTGTCATCTGACTTGGGCCACCCCCATGTTTGAATTTTTAAATACGGACCTGTATTTTTTTGTAGTTTTTGGATCGTAGACGTTCACTTCATACTGAGAAATTGAATTCAATTTTATATTTCGGGATGTTTCGGTAATATTCGATTATAATTGTGTGAATTATTCCCTTTTAAATTACGGCCCTGGAAATTGGTTGACTGAGTTGAATAAAAACACAATAGCAACTTTCACGTCTCCCTATGTAACGGAGAGTTTTTCGAGAGTGTTTTTTCATTTTTAGGTACCTATTCATATTTTTTCCATTGCTCTGAGGGTTTTCTACAATGCACTTCGAATAAGAAAACCTTTTATGATTATTTGAAACATATCTACATCAAAAATATATCATGTGTGTTTTAATAAGCAGAAAAAAAGATGATAGCAATAATAACATCTGAAACGAACACTATAATTGTAATGAAAATTGAAATGTCCTCTTCACTTCAATGCCCATGAAATTGTCAGCTCATATTGTTCAAATATATTACAAGACTCTTCAACATCGCAAGGTCGATATCAGTAGTTGTTCTAATTGTACTTTTCATATTGATAACTGCTTTTCTGAACATTTTTTGGAAAAAATGTCAAATTTGACAGGGAAGAAAAATCACTTGATCGGTCATATGCATGTCATTTGGCATCATTTTTAAAGCACAACCTAATGGAGATATCAAAAGTTGCTTAAAGAGATGAACAAAAAAAAATTCCATTTGATGCGGACTTCATGTGTGACACTGCGCACGCCTAAGTTCGTTGATTCTGATTCTGTCATAACATTGGAACAGCAGCAATACAGCAACATAGTAATAGTATTATACTACAAAATTAAATAAATACAATGTTCTAATGATTCAGTAAATTGTTTTATTTGCATCTGGCATGCCTACACATTCTAAATTTAATATTTGACCCTCTGCAAAATTGAGTTTGACACTTGTGACGGAGACTATCACATATGACATCGGGGCATTCATTTTTCTACACTATCGCTCAAGATTTCAGGAGCTTTATGCCTCTCTAACACAATTTCAGTTAATGAACCAAACCAATAAGTGTAGATATGTTTATTGGAAACAAGCCTCGTGTATTAATTTGACGGAACTGACGATAATATATAAATGTGTGATCACAATGCTGCAATCTTATTAATATGCCCGTTTTCGGTGGGGGTTGAACTAATGTACTGTATAATGTCAACCCATTTCAGATAAAATTAGCTTCCGACCCAAATTCTACGTGTTCTGGGTGCCGATAATGAAAGCGACGTTGAAGGGTATCGGTGAATTCGTGCGTATGGTGGAATTGATCAAGAAATTGTCTGGATCTATGCGCTGTCTGTTCAAAACATGAAGTTAACTGTAGGTGCAAAAAGTATGTATCCTCGAAGGAGAAAAACTATAATAGATTTGAGTATCTTCAGCGTTTAGGTAGATTTTACATGTTTGGAAACTATTCATCAAATAGGATAAATATTATACAATAGAGGTTCTAAAATGGAACCTTGTGGTACATCAGAAACTTATTTCAAGATCCCTAACACCAAACTGATATTTTAGCACTCGACGCGCGTTTCGCCAACAAAGTTAGCATCCTCAGGAAAAGAAAATTGATACCTAGTCTAGTCTGGTTAATCCTTATATACTAAAATTTGTTACCTGATGTTGTATACCTGAAGTAAAATATGGAATTTCTCGGTAATTAACTACCTGTAAGTTCTTAAGTAATTATTCTCTTCCTTTTGTTGGTATCTGCAATAGTCATTCAAATATATTGTAAACAGGATTGGTCCTAGAACCGTTCTTTGCGGAACACCATAAGTAACAATTTTGGGATAACTCTTGAATCCATCGATACTAACTCTCTGTTCTCGGTCACATAGAGTAGGGAGGGTGAGTGTAGGCCCACAGCACTTAGGCCACATGTGACCTATTGAACATCCTCTCGAGGAGTGGTCCTCCTAGGTCATCGTCCATCCTGTCCTTTCCAGGAGGTGGACAGGTCAATGGGAGACATCTCCTTTATATCGGCAGGTGTAGGCCAAGACTCACCAAACACACACTCTATTATTGACGATAACTCCAGACTCTCGCATAGGACATGCCTGACAGTCTCATCTTCCTGTTCCCACATCCTGCATAGAGATGTGTCCACTAGCCTCATGGTATGGAGGTGTTTTCTTAGTTGACAGTGGCCAGTCAGGAATCCTACTATTGGGCGTAGATTTTTCCTGGTTATCGCCAGATATTTCTTCGGGGCCAGCTTTCCAGGGTCACCCAGGGTGATCCTGGCATAGGTGTGACGTTTGGCTAGTTCCGCAAATGTCGAAGTCATCAGGCCCTAGGTGCCACTGGGTCCTAAACTTCTTAGTCCAGCCGCTTCCTTGGATGAAGAGTCGGCAATGCGATTACCTTTACTCCTGTCGTGCCCTTTAACCCCCCTCAGGATAATGTTTTTATCTACCGAGGCTTTGGCTAAATCTTGGTGGCACTCTAGTACTAGCCCTGAGGTAACACGTTGTCTGTTCAAGGCTAATAGGGCTTGTCTGCTATCAGTGCAGATTGTAATGTTTTTGCCAGAAATGTCTTTCCTGGTTATTTCCTTTGTGGCGATTGAGATACCAGCCAGTTCTGTTTGCACCACGCTGGCATTTTTCCCATTTCCCACTTAATCCTTAGGCTTAGTGATCTGGAGTAGACTCCACATCCTGAGCCGTCTGTATATATGCTAATTGCATTTTTAGCATCTGACTCTGTGTTCTGTTTTATTTGTATTTTGTAGGGTTTATCAAACACAAACCTGGGTTCAATTTCATCGCTTGTTTCCTGCAGCAGAGGTTGCTCCTACTTTGAGGTTTACACCAGCCGTGCGCAATCGTAAAGCCGGCTTCCAACGGCGCGGGACTTGGCGAGTGATTCGCCGAGTTCATCGGTTTGGCAAACAGTTTGCCAAGTGGCAAGTCGACGAGCCGTGACTATTCCCACGGCGCGTTGAACAGTTTGCAACGCCACTCGCCAAGTTCTAAATTGCGCTCGACGCACCCACTAGATTGTTATTCTGGTGAAAACAATGGAGTAGTTTGCATCAAGGAAAATGATGAGACGCCAACAAGAACAAAATCAGCGTATTGCAACTTGTGCTGCAGATTTTATAGTAATGTGCAGTGAATATTTAAAAGCAAACAAAAATAAAGAAAAAAGAAAAAGACGATGGTGAAAGACGTCTTTGTATAAAAGTCGAAGTAGGTAAGTAAATCATTTACAGGATTATCTAGACTATAGAGATTTCGTTTGTGAAGTCAATGCATTGTGTTATAATTTTTTAGCTGGTGATTGGTTTTTACTTAATAATAACTTAAAAAAAAGTTGCAATTAAGTAGCTCTAGCACTGTATTATTTCCTGGTAAGACGTTCGAAATATTTTTTTGCAGATATAATGTCACAGACATGTTAGGCGACTTACGTCGAGAACCATCAAGTTATTTTGAAAATTTCTGTAGAATGTCACCAACAGACTTTGAATATTTACTGCATAAAATAGGTTCGATTATAGCCAAAATAGATACAAATATGAGGGAAAGTATACCTATTCAAGAGAGACTGGCTGTTATTTTAAGATTTTTGGCTACAGGAGACAGCTTTACAAGTCTGTCATATTTGTTTAAATGTTCTATTCAAACAGTATCTCGATGTGTGCAAGATGTATGCCGTGCTTTGGATGGTGCTGTGGATTGGTATCCCATAGGCTGTAAATACTGACCAAACCAAGAATTTTATGCGGAACTAGATTGGGGGGCCTGGTATGTATAATTTTTTTGATGCCTTAAGCGAAACATTAACTGGTCGATTTCAAGCATCGCGAGTTCTCTAGTGGTTGCATCCAACGATATCAATTTTATGGCTAGCAATTTACCATATAATGAACATTCATTTGGAGTAGTTGATTCGCTTGACACGGCTACTTTTTTTAGGATTTGGTAGGCTTCCTCCATGCGAGTGTCAGTGGTACCAGTCATAGTTTCCGCTTTTCTTTTTTTGCCTGCTTCTGTATTTATAATAGCAGACTTTAGCTTTACTGGAAATATTTTTTTCTCTTCCTCATGTGGTTTATCACACTCGCTTTGGTGGATATTTTCGCTATTTTCATTAGTTTTATTATCTACGTCCTCTAATGTCTGAAATTTAAAAAAAAAGTTCTCAAAATTTTTTTGACGAGGAATGTAATTCTTATATAATGATTTTGAATTT